TTTTGCGACATGGTAAATGTATGCTTTAGGTTAGCAATAACAGCTCTCGAGCGAAGCCATTATGTTTAAAGTTCGTGCAAAGTACTGTGTACAGGTAATTATGATTACTTCTTGGCGCTATCGCAAGATATGGGGGCACTGTGATAGTGGAAAGTTGGAAACAGCGCAAAACATCTCCTTTTTGTTAAAATCGGGAGCAAGCCTTAGGCGGGGCAAGTGAGACTCCAAGGTGCATGAGTTATTTTCATTTCCCCCCTATGTTCCTCCTAGGCTTAAGCCCGGAGGATGCCCCGTACCTTGCGATAGCGTCTATTTCCTTTCTAAATTGGATGTTTCACTTTTACCGTTCTTACTAGGTAGAATTTGAATTACAGGGCAAAGACCTTTGCCGGCCATGAACAGGTTAGATCGACAACACGGGTAATTTTGAAGAGTGATAAACCAGAGGTGAGATTTGTCCGTTCTTCGATTGTTTATCAATGATAAATTATTCGTAAAGCACCTTGACATTATTGTTACTTTGTTACCTTAGTTACCGGGAAGTAAAGACTTGTTATTGCTTGAAGAATTCTTATCATTCCATTTAAAAGCTCTGGCCTACTACGAGGGGGCATTTTGATGTGAGAGCCCAATCATTCAGACCAATTTCCCGCAAGAAAAGAAAGCTTCCGGGTGCATGTCAAAGCGGAAGAGAAGTAGAAAGCCCAGGGACCCCAGGGACTTCCTCCCCTGCAAAGATTGGGTTTCTGTAGGCAGTGGCAACTGTTCCACCACATGCCCCCCCCCTCAGTGCGAAAAGCGTGGGCCTAAATTAAGGCCATCTCCTTCTTGGTTGTAATTTTTGCTTCCAATATTTAGATGTCCATAGGTACATAATTCGTTTTTTCTTTCGCTTTTCAATTTTTCTTTTTGGAAGAGATTTTACTTCCTATCTGAAAGATGAAATTTCATTGTGATCATTTTAAAATTGAGTATAGGTACCGGCAAATACCACTACCGACTGGATAGCAGAGGAGGTAGTTGTGCCGTCAGTTCCCCCTAGGCTAGGCAAATGCAAGATTATGTCTGTTACCTATAGCCTTGACTTGGAGGTAAGACTTTTAACTGCTGATTCATAACTGAGAGTCACTTGTGACGTTTCAGATTGACCAAACGCTTGTTGTATCGTGTCCGGTGACTATCGGGTCTATACCTCTATTAGTAGAGTTATTGAACCATACAAAGGCCAGAAATGGCAGAAGTAATCTTCGCGATTCACCACCAAAGAAGGATTCGCCAACCGCGGATAGCTGTGTACAGGTAAGCCTACACATTATGCTTTATTATACGTTATATGTTTTTAAAAGCCTTCATAGAAATCAAAATTCCTTTTAATTTTCGACAAAAATTATTCTTTAGAGGTAAGAAAGGATTTGTTTTTTTTACAGGTGACTATTACGGACGAATCGGGACAAAGTTATTACGTGATGTCCTCACGGAAGCGAGTTCGAATGCCGAGTTCGATTCTTTCCGAACTCTACCCCTCCATGCCCAGCCCTTACTACAGGTAACCCTTCAATTAAATGTTCTCTGTTTTGTTAGAGCATCACCTCGAAAGTGGATTTTACGATGAAAAGCAGCCCATTGGAATTTAGCTAGAGATGGTCAGTGATACACGAAAGAGAAAAAAAATAGGAAAAAATGTCCTGAAATCGGGAAATGCGACCCCTTGCCCGTTGATTTGCGCATTGATGCGATTCTCATCGGTGCTGCCCTCTTCAACGCTAGAGACTCCAACAATATACGACGCGAGGGGGAAGGGGTGGGCGTTCCGCGCCAATAGCGCGCTACTTGGGCCGCGAGGAACGTCATGCTAGATCGCCGGGCGATGCGAATTGCAAGTCGGTCCGCACCCACAGGAGGTCCGCTTTCTTCCCACTAGGAAGTAAGGCTCCCTCTTAGACCTTTGTGCTTATGGAATCCTCCTTCAAAGGCAGACTTCATGATCAGATCACTGAAGTAATGCTCCAGCAATGGTAGATCGATACGCATGCGCACAGGACGCACTGATTTTGTCGAATAGAACTGCAGAAAGAGGTGCTGAAGCGTAGAGATGCACACAAGGATCCTTTCAACACCCAGGGTCTCGTCCAGAAATTGAACTAGGCTCTCGCTCGTCAAATCATGCTCTCTCACCTCACATCCTTTCTCTCTCCTTGACGCCCAGTATCTCTTATCTCGTCGACCCTATCATGAAATCCTACACAGCATGGGGAATAGAACCCTTAATTCAGTGTTTTCGGTGATTTCTTATCCTTTTTTCTTTACTATCAATTCGCTTCGCACCCAAGATTTCCTTTTTGGGCTAGGTAACCATACCAATTTGATCGTTGAGTATGACTTTGAAGGCAGTTTGTTAAATATATAAATTAGACGATGAAGAAGCCGGTGAACTCTGAAGGGAGGGCGAGCCTATATGGAAACGAGTGTGAGCGGGGAAACCGCGCGTGCGGCATCCTAAAAGGCCTACCCGTTGCAGGTGGCTTTGCCCGCCAAAAGAGTGAGTGATTGAAGAAACGTGTTCGGTGCTAATACTCGAAACGTGATATTTGCTGGCATAATGCCGAATCATTGCGGTGAACTCGTCCAATCAGCCTCTGTCTCGGAGGCTTCCATGTTCAGCGCCGAAATCAAGGGAGGAATGGGAGTCCATTTCGCGATTTTATACCGTTTCGCATGGTTTTTCCCTCTTTGCTGGAAACTTTTGCCAACCGTAATTTCGGGTACCAGACTGACAGGAACTCCCACTTTCGTCCCAATCATTGCTTTATCCATGTGTTAATGGGGGGATTGTGGCAAACCCAGGAAAGTGTGACATGAATGATGCATTCCTCATGTGGCAAAACTCCTACCAACACCCCCCCCCTTACCCAAAATACAACACCCGCTCTAAAGGAATGAAATCCTTGTCACTTCTACCAATCTAAATCAATATTGAAAAACTGCAGTTAGTAGGTTGTGCCATGCAAAAACGTATTTCTCTCGGAAGAAATTGCTGCAGTTAGATTCTGCCATCAACAATGATCACTTTCCACGATATGTTTCTTTTTTAGGGAGTCATGTTTCGGTCCAGTGGATATATCGGATGAAAAGGAATGCGCACAGTACGGAGAAAGGATGTTTGCTCCGAAATATCCATTTTATACTGATTGATTGCTGCACATATGAAATCGGTTATCAATTAGGCGTTTCGTTTAAGGGACCGTGCTGTGCCCGGTTCGGTTTGCCAAACTCACAAAGAACCATTGTTGATGTGTTTCTTATGTTATTGGCTTAATGTGCCCTATTGCGGTGTGTTTGCACAAAGAGGAACAGATGAAATATTGGGTTGAGTCGGAAGGAAGAGCCGACTTTATCATCGCGAGAGTCAAATGCAACAGCGCGAACGTAACTAAGAAAGAACACTCCGGAATGAGTGATGGGTAGGAGGAACTGGTAGGCTGAAATCCGCGGAAGCCACCACTTCTTGTAGATGTGGTAGGGCTTCTCATTTTTTCTGCAAACTCAAACATAGAGGTCTGCACGGTAGTAAAACGCGCGCCGCGGGGTCGTCGAGGTTTCCTGGAAGACCAGGTGCTGGTACGGAGCTTCCAAGGTTTAACACATTCACGACGACGCCCCTTTTCCACTTTTCGGTCGCGTGGGACGGACGCGATTTTGTGGGCGCCGCCGCCTCACCACATAACCGCAGATTTTGTTTTGTAAATGAACAAAAACATGAATGTCACAAAATAATTTCTGCAATGTCCAATGCGTAAAGATTATCTAAACATATAACAGTAGGATTTCGATCAGAACGACAAATAGTGGTTACGAAAAGAGAGCATTTATTCACTTTCCCCGTGAAGGAATTTAAAAGCATTTTACACTCGATTACGAGCCAACCTATCTGTCCATTCCTAGCGCCTGGCAAGCGACTATGTTAGCAGCCCATATAGGCTGCCATCGTCCAAGGAGCGTATGTATATGTATATTTGTTAGAGTGCAAATGTGGGCTATTACTAATTTCTGAGAGAGAGAAATGTGCCTAAATTGCCAGCACAGGGCACTGCATAATTTACATGGCGTTGAATCGGAGTTGCGACAAAACCAAATGACACCATATCTGTGATGATCTATGATCTTGAACAACATAATTAGAAATCCGTTAAACTCTAAAATTGAATGGAGGGCCGCTCAACCTCTATCAACAACCTTCTTGACGGCCTAAAACAGTACATTCGAAATGGTTTGCCGGCGAAAGCATGTGTGGGCCCAATCTGAGCTCTCGAAGAACCGTTGGCTGTTACAAACGTTGTCGAAGTGCTGGTTGGATACGGCGTAGGATATTCAAAGTTAAAGCCTCTGAGAAGCTTCCCACCATTGAGTTGACTGAAAATAGGCTTGCTCCAGGCTTGAGCAATTACTGTAGGTCACCTTGAGCTCGATGGGATGGCTGTATGTTCTGAACTGCGGTTGGTGACAGCGAACAGGGTTTGCTTCTTTTTGCGGAGAACATTTTCAAAATATTAGGTTGGTAACTTTGAAATGTCGTTTTTGATCAAAGATTATTTTAAGTATAAAAGCTATACCAAAGCTTATCAACCTAATTTATTTCCTTTATGTGTGTCATCCACTCTCCACCTTTTGTTATGCAAGCATGGAGGTCTACCTCGTAGAACTCTTCCAGGTACGACTCGAAGAAGTTAGGTACTCAAATTTTGACGTCGTCGCGGTCATTGAATTTATTTGCTGCTGAGGGGTGCTGTATTGGCCTAGGTCAGTGATTGTTGGACGGTGCCAGGTCTGAGCTATATGGCGCGAGAGGCAGAGCGTCCCAGCCCAACTCCTCGATTTCTTGTTGCAAAATTTTCGCGACATGTGATCTTGCATTATCGTGCCAAAATTTTTCAATGACCGAATTTGCCCTTTGACTACGTAGAGCCCGATCCTCGCCTGCGGGATGTTGTGCGCAGGGTTTAGCTGTAACTATATGACGCACAATCAGCTCTCCATAGTAAGCCATTCTTATACTGCTTCACCATACTGTAGCAAGACTTTTTCTCTGTGGCTGTCCGGTTTCGGAGAGGCCCTCAGCTGCCCATCTGTTGCCAACCACGGCCATCTCTTCTCACTTTGTTATCGGGGAACATCCTTCTGTAAAACACGCCTTCAACGAAGTCAGGAACCTTCTTCTTCTTGGAGTTATGCAGCAGAGTTCAAGTATTGGCAACCAATACTGCTTGCTCGTGTCGCTCAGAATAGGCCGAACCCATTTTCTTTCCTGGAAGGCCCTAACAGTCGCACGTAGGAACTTTCAAATTTTTTTGTTGACACAACTGAATCTCCATGCAAGTTTTGTGCGGTATGTCGAGGACTCAATTCGTTGGCCTTCTTTATTTCTCCTTCATCTGGAGCTAGAGGTCAGAATCCACGACCATCGTCATCAGCTCCTTTACCTCAGTCTTAGAAGAGCTGAAACCATAGGCTGAAAGTGCACCAGAACTGAGTGTTGCTGCTCAATGTTTTGCACGTAATGAGTGAATAACTTCGTAAAACACGCTCAGGCGATGTTTTCTGATCAATCATGTTCGAGCAAAAGTTTTGGCTCGAAGAACATCCGCTCACTGACGGCTAAGGTTTCGCAATATGCGCACTGAATGGCTCTCTCGAATGGATGGTCTCCCATATTACGAGGTTGAGTTTCAGCTGAGAAACAAAGCCACTAAAGGAAGCGACATTTCAAAGTTACCAACCTACAGTGCGTTTCAAAAGTATGTGCACACCCTCAAAATTCACGTTTGAAAGGGAACATGAGGTTTCGTGCTATGAAATCCTTCTCAATCGATTTCTCGTAGTCGATAACCTATCAATGGAAGCAAAGCAGATAATATCGCCTCACTTTCGGAAAAAAATTTTGGATGAAATTTTTTTCTTTGTTTCAAAAGTATGTGCACACTTGAAGAAGATCAGATTTTGGCGCCGAATTTTCCACCGATTTCAATCCGACTTTGCTGTTTTCATTTCGTCATCATGTCAATTCGCGCCATACTTCTTCCTGAAGATGAGCAAGCTCAGATCAAGGTTCTGCATGATAATGAACGTTCCAATCTAGAAATCGCACGATAACTTGGTCGTTCTCCTTAATGCATTCGAAGATTTATCTGGCACCCTGATAATTATACTCGATCCTTGACTGCTCAGAACAACAAAAGAGTAGCCCACATCCTGTCGGATTCTTCATTGACAGTCCGAGCTCAGATTTTTATTCCAGCCTCGAAAATGACCACTAAGCCCCTCATCCGCTCAAATGAATACACCACTCGACAGACGCTGAGAAAGGCTACTCACTTCAAGGCCCAGCACAAGTTAGCCACATTGGAGTCTGCTCGTACAGACATGGCAACATAGGATAGGACACCGGGCGAAGACACGGTTTTTCGAGAATTTCCTATTTTCAAAACAAGCAACTTTTTATGGACTTTCTCTCCTCAGGTAATCTTAACTCATGGAAAGAGTTCGATCTTGACGGGCCGGGTGGATTTTGCTACTACTGGAGAGGCTTGGCCGTGAGTCGCTCGTGCTCTCGAGAAGGAATTTCGGAAGAGGCCCGTTGATGGGTCTGCGGCGGTTTCGCAATCAGCGGAAATCAGAAGTTGCCGTTCCATTATTGCGTATGAACTGTAAAGAATACCAAGCAGTGCTCCAATGTCACCTGTTGCCCTTCCTTAGCGAAGCGGAGCGAAAATTGCATTTTTAGCAACAGGACCACGTGTCTTTCGATGCTTCGCAATCTACCAAAGAATGGCCTTAACCAAATGGTGCTGAAGCGATAGATTGGCTTGTGTGTCCTCCTTACTGCAACCCTATAGGGAGCCCTTGATCAAGGCGTTAACTTTAGCAACCGGCAGTATAATACCGCGGATGAACTGAAGGCGGCGGTAGAGGCTATTTGGGCCGACAGCGACGAAACAGCTATGCCAAACGTGGTTCAGATTATGCCGGACAGGATGTTTGAGCTAACTCTGGAGGCCCCACTGATTTCTAATCTCAGCTATGTTTTTGTCTTTTGTTAAGTGTGCACATACTTTTGAAACAAAGAAAAAAATTTCATCCAAAATTTTTTTTCGAAAGTGAAGCGATATTATCTGCTTTGCTTCCATTGATAGGTTATCGACTACGAGAAATCGATTGAGAAGGATTTCATAGCACGAAACCTCATGGTTCCCTTTCAAACGTGAATTTTGAGGGTGTGCACATACTTTTGAAACGCACTGTATATCCGCAAAGGCTTTCCACTAATTAGTGGCGAA